AGTTCACCGCATTTCCTCACAGGAAGTCGCAGGGGAGCTGGGCAGTGGGGGGTGGGCGGGGAAGTTTCACAGGAAGTCCCGGCTGCCACTCTGGGCAGTTTCCCACCAAGGCTAGCTCCAGAGTCAGTACAAAGCAGTTCCCCCACCTCGTTGCTCCCCTGTTGTCTCTCTATACCCTCCTTAGTCCCTGCCCGGATTGAAACCCACCCTCCCCACCCCCCATCCCCCATTCCCGTTTGGGCAGAATAACCAACTCGTTAAAAGGACCTGGGATAGCTGCGACCTGAGACAGCTGAGACCTGGTTGTGAGCAGCTGCAATTGAACCCAGCACATGGGGATTTGTGCAATTTAAAGCTCTAGACAGCTGTTTTGTGGTGGCGGCGGCGCCAGCCCATGCTGCAGAAAAAGCACAACCCACATTTCCCCACTGGCTCAGCAACAGAAATAGGGAGATGGGGTGGGGGGGGGGGGAGGGGAGAGGAAGGGGCGTGAGGGTGCAAGATGAAAAGGACTTGGAACCCACTAACGAGTGAAGCCATCCTTGCACCCACTTTAAACCCCCTATGTAAGGCTCTGGTGAAGATAACAGAGGCACTTGGTTTCCGAAATGCCAAAAATGACTTTGTAATCTAGACACCTCACAAGGCACCCAGTTCCCCTGCTTCCCCGACAACTTTATTCAGTGCTCGAAGTCAAACACACAACTGAGCCCGCCCATTGTGCAAGCTCCGAGGGTGGCCACACAGGGTGGAAAAACTGGTCTAACTTCAGTGACACACAGATTATTCAATCTGGTTTTGCCAAAGCTAGAAATATAAGTGCATCCATATCCCCTGACTGGATTATACAGCTAGTAACTTGAAAACACGCTTAATGGAAAAATTAGAAGGAAACAAACACAAGATTTCAAATGTGTCCCCTCATTTTCCCTTCTCAGTTGGGCAGTGACCACAAAAGTTGTCAATACTCCTTTGGTTTATACTCATGCTGACTTCCAAATCCACACACTAATATGGCATGGAAAATCATTTCAGCTTGCTTCCTTTTTCATTACCTTAACATGAAAGATTTACTAAGAGGGTGAACGATATCATTTCACTCCAACCAGGACCCTTTTCATCATGTTCAGAGAGTTGGAGTCTAATTTCACACGCTTGCGTCAGACATGATTATTGTCACTTGGACAAGAACTGCACAGCTCCCTTTTCTGCATTTTGTTCTGTGAGGTGGGGTGGAGGGGGATTCAAGGTACATCGTAATTTTCAGAGATAATGGAATGGGAGCTACGAAACTCCCATTTCATGAACCTATCCAGCAGGTAGGTCTGGATTCTAAGCTGGTGCACACGCACTGCTTTTCTTCTTCAAAAACACGGGCACAGCTATGGAGTGAAGAAGAAAGGACAGTGCCACTGCTTGGTGCACATGGCTTTCCACGGAAAGACATCAAATCCCATTCCAAGTCTCCCCTGCGACCCTGAATTTGTTACTTAAAAATGTTCTATTTTTGCTTTCACAACACACAGGCAACACCTGTAGCAGAGCATGACATGAGATGCTATCTCTGAAGTGTCAAGGGTGGGTGGCTGCTCCTTGCACCATCGTATGCATGCTTGGCACTCAAAGCCCTGGAACGTGGATGGCCTTGCACGTCATAGACAAGAACCATCAACCCCCCATCTCTAAATAGTAAAGGCATCAGACCAACTCTTCTGTGGAGTCCCCTTTAAAGAGTACTCCCTCCCCTCGATACCTGTCAAGTAAACACTGAGTGGAGGGGGACCAGAGGACGAGAAAATCTGTGCAACCAACCAAATGGGGAAGGGGAAGGCAAAAGTGGGAGCTGCAAGTGCCCACCTTTGATGGATGCACTTATATGCTCATATCCCTCCAGAAAAGGTGCACCGGAGAGCAGGACGATCCAGCTACTGCTTGAAGCAGCCGGCTGATCCTTGTGGGGTGGGGTAAAAAGGGCAATCAGTCCGGTGACCCTCCTCGCTTTATTTTAAGCCCGAGAGCTATAGGAGGCAGAGTTATAACTATTCCGCGCGGCTAGGCGTCCACGGGCCGGTGCTCCAGGTGCATATTTGCCCAAAGCTGAACGCGCCCGTGCCCAGAACTGGCGGCCAGCGCAGAGGCAGGGGATGCGAAGGCCCTTCTAGTTCGGGGCGACCATCCTGTGCACCCGAACGTCCAGTTCTGCCGGGGAGAGAGCTGCCTCGCGCGCCCGCACTGGACCCCAGCTCTCTTCCATCGGATCCAGACGGCTGCATCACTACCCACAGCAGCGCGCTCTCCTCCTTCGCGTGCGCGAACATAAATAACGTCCCACGCGGCCGGATAGCGAGGTTCAGCTGCAGACTCTTAAGTATGAGCTGCCACCGGGTGATCGGAGAGTGGCCTGAGCCTTGGCGGGGCTTAGAGACGCCAAGATTACAAAAGAAGAGGAACAGCTTAAACTCAACCCTTCAAGATACCGGCGTCCTTCGGCAATGGATACGGACCCGCGGTCCCGCGGGTGGCTGGAAAAAAATAATAAAATAAGCGGGGATGGGGTGTGTGTGAAAGGGACACACACACAAACACCTCAAAGCAGGTAATAGCGGGGCAAACCAAAGCGAGAGCGCAAACAATCTGGGGACACGCAAATCAGCGCTGCTAACCTGGGCCTCGGTTTCCCCATTTGCAAAAAAAAAAAAAGAAAAGAGAGAGGGAGAGAGAGAGCTGTCGCTCTGGGACGCTGCAGGATTCCGCGCGCGTAAGCTGTCGCAGGCTCAGAAGCCAGAACCGCGGGATAAAGCGAGGGAAGAGGAAGAAGGGAGGAGCCGATGGGAGACGCGGAGAAGCCGCGAAGGGTTGGCGCCAGGAATAGGCTTTGGCGGGTTTTCTGCCTCTTTCTACCGCACCTGGCTTTCCACGATGGGCTCAAGACCCCAGCGCCCATCGAAGCTGGGCAAAAAAAAAAAAAAAAAAAAGGGGCAGAGTTTCTTCTTCCATACGCCGAGTTTTAGAGTCACGGTGGGCAATGATTCGTGCTATCGAGAGAGAAGGTTCGTTCGTTTCGGCTCGGGGCGGATCTGCAGGTGAGAGGGTCTGGGGCGGAGCAGGAGGTGAGGGGACGGATTCAGGTTAGGGATGGCAGGGTTTCCTGGTCCAGTTCGCGCGTCCCGGGCTGGCCCAGCTTCATTCCCACACTTGGAGCAGAGGAGGGATGGGGGAGAGGGCGTGAGGGGAGTGGGTGGGGGAGTGGATATTTGCCAAAAAAAAAAAAAAAGGGAAAAAAAAAGTTGCTGAACTTTTCCCCCAACTTGGTCAGGGAGGCGGGAGCGGAGGGCGGCGCCTGCAGCCTGATTCGCTGCGGGCTCCAGTCTGCAGGCTCCGATTGGCCGCGCGGGCCCCGGGGCCGGGAAGAGCGGGCGAGGGGGGAGGGGAGCGGCCCTCCCAGCCCGCGGGATCGCCTCGCGCTGGGAGCGGGTTAATTTCAAATCGGGGGCTTGACTGCTCCTGGACTGTCACGCTGCCCTCTGCCCGTCTGCCCGCCCGCCGGCCCGCCAGCCCCGGTCCCAGCGTTTCTCTCCGGCACCCACCTCGGCGCGGCGTCAAGGACCCACACGGACTGCGAGAGACTCGAGAGCTCCTGGGGCCCGAGCGGGGAAGGTGTGCCGAGGAGCGCCCCCCTCCCTCCTTTCCCCGCTCAGCCCCCCTCCCCTCTCCCCGACAGTTCCAACCGTGAGGTGGACTGACAGGTCAGCGGGACCCAGAGGGACGCGGCATCCCGCCCGCCGGGTCGCGGGAAAGGGCTGGGGGAAGACAGCGGCAGCCGCGGCCGTTTCCCGCCTCTCGCTCTGCGGGGGGCCGTGGAGGGAGGAGCTGAGCTCCCGCGCAGAGGGGAGGGGGCGAGCGAGGGGGCGGGGCGGCTTTGCCCGCGCTCTGGGCCCCGCGCTGCTTTAGGGGCGGCGCCGGCCACGTTCCGCGCTTTCCGCGCCAAATTTTTTAAATCGAAGGCGGAAGGTCCGGACCCGCCCCCGGAGTCGCCGACCAATCGCAGGCCCGCGCGCTGCTCTCTCATTGGCCGGCCGTCGTTGCCGTGGGAACCGCTAGGATGCTGTCCGGGAACTGCCGGGCCGGCAGCGCGCGGACTGGGCTCTGGGGGAGGGGCAGTTGGCCGGGCGGAGAGGGAAGTGCGCGAAGCGCCGAGCGGGTGGCGACTGTACCTGATTGCCTATTTAGCAATTGCCGCGGCGGAGTTCAACATCGTGGCCTGATCCGGACACCTTACTAGCGAGTACACAGCGATTTGCATCTTTTTTTTTTAATCTAAAAATAAGTAGTAGTCATAAGGCGCTCTTTAAATGCCCAGAATATTATTGGCGCTAAGGACTTAAATTTGGAAGTTCATAAATTGCTTCCTAAGACTTCATTGCTGAGCCTTTGATGCACGTGTGTGTTAGGGGAGAAATCCAGACATCTAGATGCAGACTTTCATCCAGATATTTGGGGTCATATCTTCTGAGCTGGAACCTGGGCTTGGGGCTCCCAGCCCCGAGCGCTGATCTGTTAACAGGTGGGTGCTTGTGCTTGCTACAGTTCGTTCGGTGGGGTTCAAAGAATGGTCTGCCTTCTTTAAAGGTAGGAAAGGGCTGTCTCTAGAAATTCTGTGGGTTCCTAGAAGTCTCATGACAGTGGATCGGTAGACTGAAGGAATTTACTGGAGATTGATGGATTCCTCTCCCCAGGGGGGCTATCTCTGATCAGGAACAACATTACATGCTGTTCCACCGATTTTCGTTAGTCTTTGTTACAGCAATCAGTGGTGTTTTAAGAGGAATTTCCAAGGGATTGCCTAAATTTATTTTTTATTAACTTGTTTTATTTTTCCTTTCTTTAAGGATATTATACTTAAATAGACTTAATTGGACTACTTACACCATCAGACTTTTGAGAGGAATTCCAGATTTTTCATTCTTAACGAAACTCTAAATGAACAAGAAATTTACAGAATGGAGAACGAAAAGGTATCTTTTTAGATTCACTGTTCATTCTTGCAGCTTAAATATAATTATACCTCTAGCTTAACTTCATAATTCTTCAATATCCTGTATCTTTTTAATGCCATTTTAGATAGCCTCTTTTAGTTAGCCTTTCTTAACCTCTGTTAAAATCCTGAATGAAAGGAAAATTCAATTTTTGAAGAGAGGTAGAGCTGTCCAGAGTTAATGTGATCTTTCATGTTTTTCAAAAATCTCAAAAAGATAAGCTTAGGGAAAGGATATTTCAGAATAATAAAAAATTGGTAGTTAACATTTTTTCTGAAAATTCTTGGACAATTAAAATTCAGAAAAGGCACTGACATGATTTGAGTCTGAATTTCTTTTTTTTTTTTTGATAATTTTCTGTCAAACCATCTGCTGTTTTTCTAAACTATGGGGGTGACAATACCCATTTATGAAGGCAACATTTTGTAAAATTACCAGAAAAGGGGAATGGAGCAGCAGATAGGGCGTTTGCCTTATCAATTGCCAACCCAGGTTCAATCCCTGGTACTCTTTATGGCTCCCTGAATCCTGCCAGGAGTGATCCCTGAGTTCAGAGCCAGGAATAAGGCCTGAGCATAGCCAGGTGTGACTCTTCCCTCAAATTACAAAAAAAATAGTCAATGGGATATCTTGATTGGGATTCAACTACTGATAGGTTTAAAAATAAAATATGTAAATTTCCTAAAAATTTTAGATCTTTGCCTAATAAAAGAACTTTTCTCACTTTTGATAATCTGAGTCAAAACACTGAGCTTTTGAGAAAATCTCATTCTTGGGCAGTTACGGATAAGGATACTCCTTGGAGTTCAAGTTTAAAGTTACTTATAAGCACTGATGCACAAGCTGGCAAGGATTCCCCATTGGGCCCATCACATGGTTTCCATATTAGAGCACAGACCTGGATTGAGGAGATCCAGGTGACTAGTCTCAGCCTGGCTTTCTTTTTCTATAGAACAGAAATACAGGATTTAATGAAAATACAAATGTAAAAGCACTTGATAATCCTGAAATGCCACAGACAGATAAAAATAGTCCCATTAATCTTTGTTGCTAAAGTTTTCAAGAAATCGGTGACTCTGTTCTTTGACTTACTACCTTTCCAAGCATTTTCTTCAAAATAGCTATAGATAAAAAGCCATAGATGGTGACATTCCCAGGGTCCAAATGTAGAAGAAATGGAGCCTCCCCCATTAGTCTCACTTATGAATTATGGTTAATTTACTCTCATTTCTCAGGGATACTTTCCCCCCTTTTCTCCATCTAGAAAGTAAAGGGCTTTCGATAACCAAAGATCCTAATTTTCTGGCTAGAAAGTCTACTCTGAAGGTATCTTGGATTTTGTTCTCTGTAAGATTTTGCTAATCAGACTGACCCTCTACGCTCTTACCCTGTCCCTTTGGCTCTCTGTCTTTTCCATGACTGGGGTTTATTGAACACCAACTGCACTCAGCTCTGATATTAGCTGGAACGGGACATGCTTCTCTTAGAACCATGTAACGAGTAGGGATACCCTTTGGAGATTAAGGTTACTTAAACTGATTACTCCTTTAGAGGAAGCTGAGTGAAAGACATATAGGAACTCTATACTACCTTTGTAACTCTTCTGTAAATTAAAATGATTGCAGAATTCAAAGGTTTAAAGTCAAAGTTTTTTTATTCTTAAAGTGTAAGATGAAAACATCTTCATATTTTGAAGATATTCATATTTTATTGCAAAATTGAAAATGGTAACTTTAGTCATTAATAAGAATGAAAAGTACTTGATCATTGGGATAGTTGCTAATTTAATCAATTCTGCAACCCTATTTGACTTTTTTTTCCTTACTGATCTTCTGTTATACAACAGGATATGGAAATCCTGATTTACAATGGATTTAATTCTCTACCTTTTTTTAAAAACCAGGAAAATCCCTTTTTTGAGCCTCATAAAAGGGGACTGATGAAAACACCTCTGAAAGAATCCACGACGGCAAATATAGTGTTGGCAGACATTCAACCTGACCTTGGTCCTCTGACAACACCCACCAAGCCCAAGGAAATTGCCCAGGGAGAACCCTGGACACCAACAGCTAATCTGAAAATGCTCATCAGTGCCGTAAGCCCAGAAATCCGCAACAGAGATCAGAAAAGGGGGCTGTTTGACAATAGTAATGGATTACCTGAAGCCAAAGATTGTTTGCATGTAGGTTGCTGAGAACTGGATGTGTGTGGTGTGGTGTGGTGTGGGATTTGGGGCAGGTGGGTATGGGGAATAGCAGTAACAGAAGAGCCAGCAATATAAAGCATCACCTCCATGTACATCGTGAGGAAGATTTCATTACTGGAAGTTTTGAATGTTTAACATCTTTTCAGTTTAAGCTTCCCTGTTAGATCTGTCAGGCAATCTGTATTGGTTCCTCACCTTTATCTTTTTTTCTCAGACTTTGCCGCTCAGCATGTAGATCTAAGAGGTATTAGTCACCAAGTACCGCTAGATGCCCCTGATAAATCCATGAAACTTTGTTCCAGAATAAGATATTATTTACCTTTTCCTTTGCAGGAACACTTATCTGGAGATGAATATGAGAAATCTCAACCAAGCCGAAAAGAGAAAAGTTTAGGATTATTGTGTCATAAGTTCTTAGCAAGATATCCGAAGTATCCTAACCCTGCTTTGAATAATGACATCTGTCTTGATGAAGTAGCTGAGGAACTTAGTAAGTATGCAAAGAACTCACTGAAATATCAGGTTAATAATTCAAAAACCCTAATGAGCTTATTCCTTTAGACCAGCCTAATCAAGCAAGGGTTTGGAGTGAGAACACTAGGGCCAGGAGGATATTTTAATTCTCTGAAGCCCTCTGAACTTGAAGAAAGGTATGTAGTTTCCAGTTTCAAGGAGTCTTGTAACAGCAGCAAAACATCAAAGTGGAGATTGCTTCTGTCTCTATTTCAAAAGCTGGTAGCCTTAAGGAAAGCAATAGTGTTTTTATGACTTCTTTCAAAAACAGCTACAATTCTGAACTGCTCTGCTGCTGTCTCTTTAAAAAGCCAGACTGGGGAATGAGTTCTTGGTAGCTTCTGCTGGGATCAGCTTCTGTAGTGGCAGCGGGGCTGTTGTGCTCACCACTTCCAAGCCTGGTTGTGAGAACCTCCAGTTTGGTGGTTGGCAAAAGTCACTATGGTGAGAGGGGTGGAGTGAGTAACAGGATAAATCAGTTGCCTTGCAATGCATCCAACAGAACTCCGTGAGGGATCACTTCTGACCAGGAATAGCCCATGAGCACCACCACATATGGCCCAACACCCACCTTCCCTGCCTCACAAAAAAGCCACTGCAGTGTTGTGTCTCCATATATTTTTCATAGATATAAATCAGGTTATAGCTACAAAGAAGTCTGGCAAATTCAAGGTACCTTTGGAGTCATGAAAATGGAAGCAATACAGCAGCTAAGGCACTTGCCTTGCAAATAAATGGCCAGCCCTGGTTCTATCTCTGTCAACCCTTCTGAGCCCTGACAGGAGTGATCCCTGAGTGCAGAGCCAGGAGTAAGCCCTGATCACCACCAGGTGTGGTCTAACACTCCCACATCCCCTCCAACTTCCACTCCCCCCAAATCATACTATGAAGAGATATACTAGATGTTTTCAAATAGAGCTATCACCCCATGAAGAAAGATTTGATTAATGTTGATTTCTAAATAACAAATTTATTTTATGTTTTATTTCAAGTTTATTTCATGCTTGATCTAATGACTATTTCTAAATAGCAATTTTATTTCATATTCATTTATTTTAAGAATAAGCCATTTGGGAGGTACAAGAGAACTCTGGGTTTTGGTTTGGGGGCCTCACCCAGTTGTGCTCAGGGTTTTCTCTGGCTCTGCTTAGGAATCAATCCTGGAAGTTCTCAGGTCACTGTATGCAGTGCCTGGGTACAGGTCAGCATGTGCCAGGCAAGTCCCTTACTCACTGTACTATTTTGCCAGCCCAAGAATAAGCCATTTTTGCATATCTGTTCACATATACTTAAGTATAACATATAGGATGTATGTTTCTTCCTCAGTATTTTCAGGGATTGGTTTTAGCCTCCCCCCACCCCCTGCCCGGGATGCCAGATATCATAGAATGGCATAGTTTATACATATAACCCACATATATCCTCTTATGAAATTGAAGTCATCTCTAGATTACTTATGACACTTAATACAAATTGGGAACTGCATTAGTCATGCTTATGGTTTAGGGGACAGAAGCAACATCTGTAGGTATTCAGTGCAGAGACACCATGATAGGCCTGATTTCATAGTACCTATTTTCACGGTACTGTGATTTGTTGAGTTTGCAGATACCAAACTACAGGTGATGCCAGCTACAGTTTCATTCAGTAGGTCAGTATGGCTTACTCTGTATGTGCTGGACAGTTTGGGATGACACCAGTGAACAAATAGGACATCTCTGCTCTGTGGATCCTGCTATTTAGTGGGGTAATAGAACATGAAAGACCTCAGTGATCTTCTCAAAGAAGGTGGCATCTGTGCAAGGACTTGATAGAATTGAGGCACTGAATTCTGAGAACACTTACAAGAGTGATTTTAGGCAAAAGGAACAGCCTAAAGGGAATTCCAGAAAGAGTAAGAAATCTTAGTCCCTTTGAACTATCTTATGACAACTCTGTGTGTGTGTGTGTGTGTGTGTGTGTGTGTGTGTGTGTGTGTTATGTTTTAGAGAGCAGTATCAGTTATAGGTTTGAAATAAGGGATTTGGAGTTATTATTAAAGACTTGATTATGCCACTTACTGCTTTGTTTCTTGGGATGAGCTCTTCAGCCAGCCTGAAACTCTATTTTCTCATCATTAAGATATAGCTAATACCCATCTCCCCGGTTTAAAGTAAAAATATCCTAAAGCTATGAGGCACCGTAGTTAGATTTTCTTGTCTGTAATTACATGATTTGTGCCCTGGGAGAAGGTCTCTCCTTTCTCATCTTCACACTTTCTGTTGGATATAAAGGAAGTTTCATCACCCAGAACTGAGTCCAACAAAAGTGAGCCGTTGCTGTGCACACTCCAAAATCTGATCCTACGTATGTGCAATTCCTCATTCTTTTGTAGACGTTGAGCGTCGGCGCATCTATGATATCGTCAATGTCTTGGAGAGTTTACATATGGTGAGCCGATTGGCCAAAAACAGGTACACATGGCACGGGAGACATAATCTCACCAAAACCCTTGGGACACTGAAAAGCGTTGGGATGGAGAACAAGTATGCTGAACAGATTATGATGATCAAGAAAAAAGAATATGAACAAGAGTTTGACTTCAGTAAGAGTTACAGTATAGAGGATCATCTCATCAAATCAAATACTGGCCAAAATGGACACCCAGACATGTGTTTTGTGGAACTCCCTGGAATGGAATTTAGGGCAGGTAAGAAATGGTATTGAGAGGCACAGGTGGTGTGGCACTTCTCGGATTTGAGAAAAGACTCTTTAGAGAACACTTCTGCTGCCTTTAACATTTAAATGCCGCAGTTGTCACTGTCTGACCGGGTTTGGGGTATTTTTAGCCTTGTTACTTTAGAAGTCACTTGTCCTTTCATGAATTTTAATTCTCTAATCCCCATACTTCTCCAAAGCCTCTGTAAACAGCCGCAAAGACAAGTCTTTGAGAGTGATGAGCCAGAAATTTGTGATGCTTTTTTTGGTATCGACGCCTCAAATAGTAAGCCTAGAAATCGCTGCAAAGATTTTAATTGGGGAAGACCACGTGGAAGATTTGGACAGAAGCAAGTTTAAAAGTAAGTGTGACAGTGACCCTGGACTTGTGGACCTGTCCTAAAACAGCATCTCGGTAACTGATTTCCAGACACATTTGCTATCTATACAGGTCTTCTCCAATTCTGCTTTTGTATCTACATCTCTCCCTTGGAAGCCCGATCTGAATGTGCGAGCTAACTTGTAGGAGTTAAAGATGTGTATAGGACTGCGCTGTCCTATTTGTCTTCTTTGGCTAATCAGCAGTTCCTTAGAGGTTACCTTATTTGATACAGTAATATTGTCCCCCCACCCCACCCCAGAATTACACTCAGAGAATGTGTAGGAGCCTGGTAACCTAACTGAGTAATAAATTGCCAAGTGGCACTGGAACCCAGCTCGCTGCTATTGGTACTAGCTCTCCACTGTGGGGATATGAATACCTCTTCTAAGATGCCCTGGACATGTCCTGCGGCACATCGGTTTACCATTTTGAAGGAGAAGCCAGCACACCTGTTTCAAACTGGGAATGATCCATAGGTCAGGTTCTGGTTCCTAATGCAAACTCAGCCCTGACCTCTGTGACAGACTATACAGGAACCTGCACAGAGCCTAGCGAGACTAGGAGAAGAATTGTTTGGCACACCAGGACTAGCCTGCTGTCGCCGTCTCTGTTTCCTGTTAGTGTGTGCTTCCAGGGAACTCCACGTTGACCATGAGGACAGTCTAAATATGGGGCACTGTGAACCCCAGCTGTATGATAAGGGGGAAACCCCCCATCCCCCACCCAAACAACAACAGAGGCTATGGGAAATGCTTAAGACTCCTTCCCATGGCTGAAAAGTTCTTCCAGTCCCCTAAAAGCATATATAGGAAGCCCAGATTGATAGTGTTGCTGTGAAGACAAAATGAAGTAGAGTAAAGGAAAGTAATCCTGTCACTTGACTTGGAAGAAATGCAGTTTCCAAAAACATGTCCCAGTACTATGGATGCCACCCTTCTCCCCATCCCCCGCTTTGTTCTGAGTCACCAGACAGTTTTCAGCTCTCTATTTCACTGGTCAGTCACAGCGTTGGAAAGGATTCTAAGAACTGAAAAGGGGTCATTTGCTAAATCCCAAGGGATTTCATTCAGAGCCTTCTGCTATGGCTATGGAGAAGGAGCTTTGATCTGTAATTTTGTACAAGCAAGCTAAAAGGAGAGGTGAACTTGTAACAAAATTTTTTAAAGATATGTAAGATGTTTAGATTTAATAAATCTATGCATACTGTGTAATGCAAGAATCCAATTTTACAATGTTCGTTGGAAATAGAATTTTTTGTGTCTAATGATATTAAATAGTTTAAACTATGGCCAATAGGAAAGGGATACATTTATCAGTGATATTTTGTTTCTATTTTTTCAGAACATTGTTGCAGAAGCCTCTTTAGAACTCTCCGCAGAGTAACAATTTAGTTTTTTAAATCTGTAACATAGTTCCCTAGAGGGTAAGCTCAGATGTGCTTTATTTTCTCCTTTGAAAATTCAGTAGCAGAAGAAATTATTTTTCCTATTAAAAGCGTAAATTTTTAGTACTTAAATATTTCAGTTTTTAGTGTTTAGAAACAAAATGCTTCTTAGTATTTAAACTATATTTTTTAATTTTAAAGCAGTTATCACTAAGATACCTTAAAAAAGAGTCAGGTTTTCCTGTCTGTCATTGGGAATTAGTAAAAAGCTGACTATAAGTTCTTATGAAGCAGAACCCATTGCTCTTCCCTTGTTACATTAAGTGTTTAATGTGCTTTTTTGTCCCCCAGCAAAAATAAGGAGGTTGTATGATATAGCTAATGTTCTGAGTAGCCTGGATCTTATCAAGAAAGTTCATGTTACAGAGGAAAGAGGCCGAAAACCAGCTTTTAAATGGACAGGCCCAGAAATCAGTTCAAATTCTGGTGGTATGTTTTTGTTTTCTCTCATGTTTTTGCTCCATTATTCTGGCTTTACGTATACTTGGAGATGTTCTCCTTTCCCCTTCTAACCCACTCTCTGACATAGAAAGAATATATCAAAATGGTTGAAAAGAACGAAGAGAAATAAGGAAAATTTGGCTTCTACCAGCAACCCAGTGTTCATGACTATTTCTCATCCTGTGTCTAGGAGGTAAAAGCTTTATGTGAAAGAATATTTAAAAAGTGATACATTATTAATGCATAAGATGATCATAACAGAGCCTGTGCACCTTGAAATGTGGGACGCCTCTGCCTCTATCTCATCTGGGACCAGAGGTGTCCACATAAAGTGTTCCAACATTGGGGCTGGAGCGATGGCACAGCAGGTAGGGCTTTTGCCTTGCATGCGGCCTTGCACCTGGGTTTATTCCCAGCATCCCATATGGTCCCCCAGCACCGCCAAGAGTAATTCTTGAGTGCAGAACCAGGAGGAACCCCTGTGCATTGCAGGGTGTAACCCAAAAAGAAAAAAAAATGTTTAAACATGGGCCATAGAGGCAAAGACATAAATTACAGTACCAGCTCAGCCACTTACCAGCTGTGTGACTTTGAATAAGTTACTTTCAAGTGCTCAGTTTTGTCACCTGCAAAACGGGGAGGAAGGGGAAAAAAAGGTGCCTTTGCAAAGTTATTGTGCTTTTGGATACAACCTTAAAGAGAGATCCTTTGCTGCACCATTGGGAGTCTGTTTAGGTGCTGGAACACACTAACCAGATTCACATCTCAGGCTCAAATTGGACTCACTATACTGACAGACTTTGAGTTCTGTGCTTAAGGTCTCTGAAGTTAAGTGTGCAATTTCTGAGAAATAGCTACCTGGACAGTTCCACAGACTGGGTGGCTTATAGGCAACCAAGATTTATTTCTCACAGTTTTGGAGGTTAGGAAGTCTAAGGTCAATGTGCTGGCATATTCATTGTCCAGTGAGATCCCAGTCTGAAATCAACTGCCTCTTGGTTATAAATTTACATAGTGGAAAAGGACTAGGAAGCTCTGTGTATTATCTTTTGTTGTTGTTGATTTGTTATGGGGAGTCACAACTGGCAGTACACAGGGTTTATTCCTAGCTCTCTGTTCAAGGGCCACTCCTGATGGGGTTCAGGGGGCCAGGTGAGATGTAGGGAATTGAACCCAGGTTTGCCACATACAAGCCAAGCATCCTACTACTATACTACTACTCTGACCATACTGTGGAGTTTCTTATAAGACCATGCACCTATCTAAGAGGGCCTGCCCTTATCACCTAGGCAACTCCCACCCGGCAATGATACTATAGCACAGTGGTAGGGCGTTCGCCTTACAAGTGGCCAACATGGCCGACCCGAGTTCGATTCCTCCGCCCCTCTCGGAGAGCCCGGCAAGCTACCGAGAGTATTCGATATGCCAGACATAGTAACAACAAAGTCTCCAATGGAGACGTTACTGGGCCCGCTCGAGCAAATCGATGATCAACGGGAGGGCCTTTACCTTTACCTTTACCTTTATGTCTTCACAGACGGCATCAGTGTTCACATTGGAATTTGGGTAGGGGATATACTACTCAGTTCTTAGTGGTTCAGGTCACCACTGCCTGACAACTCCAGACTCTACACATTGTAGAATACATAGTGTATTTTTGACACACTAATAAGAAAGAGCATTTATAGTAAACAATAACTGATGTTTACCGTGGAAAACACCACTGGTATAAGTCAGAGTGGGCTGCAGAGATGTCAAAGAATAAAATACTATCTCCAAATTCCTTTAGCAAGTTAAGCGAAGTTGTTTCAGGTAGTAATTTTTTTTTCTTTTTGGGTCACACCCGGCGTTGCACAGGGGTTACTCCTGGCTCTGCACTCAGGAATCACTCCTGGCAGTGCTCAGGGGACCATATGGGATGCTTGGAATCGAACCTGGGTCTTCCGCGTGCAAGGTAAACGCCCTACCCGCTGTGCTATCGCTCCAGCCCCTACATAGTAATTTTAAAGCCAAGTGTGGCATATAGTTGGCACCCGGTAGCTTCTGAGACCCTTCAAAGAGCATCTTAGAATGACACTTGGACTTCATAGCCCCAGAGGAAGCAGATCCACCAATGTTCTAATGTTCTACCCTTTTCTATTTCAGGTCTCAGCCCAGTCAACCCTTTTGCCCCCTCGGATTTGGAAGTGAAGCAGTCTTCAAAAGAGAACTGTGCCAAGAACCTCTTTTCCGCCAGTGGGAAGCCAAATTTTACCAGACACCCATCTCTTATCAAACTAGTAAAGAGCATAGAAAATGATCGGAGAAAGATAAATTCTGCTCCCAGCAGCCCTATCAAGGCCAATAAAGGTATATTTTCACTAGTGTCAGGTCTCTGCTTGGCAGAATTCCTTTGTTTCTCTGATCGTATCACTTGCTTGGGACTTCTTAGAGAATTGTTTCAATCAATTTACCTAAGCCATTTTGAACCCTAATGTAAGCAAATTAAAGGATAATCACTGATGAGGCTTCTCACTTATTGTGTGTGTTTGCAGGATACTTTCTAATCAGTCCTTTGGCTTCAGGAAGGTCCATCTCCGATTGTTGACTTTGACCACCTTTTCCTCTTCTTTTTATTTTTCCAGCTGAAAATTCTCAGAATTCTGCACCGTTCCCAAATAAAATGGCTCAGCTTGCAGCTATTTGTAAAATGCAGTTAGAAGAGCAATCAAGGTAGGTTGGCAGTGCCCATTGGTGATTTTTTTTTTAATTCCTTTTCCCTGGCAACATTCACGTAACTTAGCTTAGGAAGGATAGACACCCTCCCCAGAATCTGGCTAGGGTATCTTTTCTGTAAGGCCTAACAGTTATCACAGAAACTCTGTGAAACCTGGCTTTAATCTGAGGCTTTGCGTAGTGGAACCTGCAGAGAAAATGAGTTTCCATGGTGTCATGTTTTGTATTTTTGTCTTATAGTGAACCCAGAAAGAAAGTGAAAGTCCAGCTGACAAGAGCTGGGCACTGCAAACCAGTGGCCCCTCTGGACACCTCATCGAGCGCAGAGCTGGAGCTGACAGCACCATCCCTCATCCAGCCCCTGGGGGTGGTCCCCCTGATCCCCAGCCCACTGTCTTCGGCTGTGCCTGTGATCCTACCTCAGGCCCCTTCGGGTCCATCCTATGCCATCTACTTGCAACCTGCCCAAGCCCAAACTTTGACCCCGCAGCAAGGCCTGAGTCCAACAGTTTGTCAAACCCCCTCTGCTAAAACTCTGAGATCAAAAGACTCTGCGGATTCCACCACTGAGAAGGTGACCAGTGATTCCTCTAAGTCCTATACCTCCGCCAGACCTGGCAGCTTGCTGCCAGGACCAGAAAGACAGGGTGCCAAGCATCAAGACAGGGAGCCGGCTGGTGAAAGGGGCCCAAAGAGGGCAAGCCTGCATGAGGACGGTGGCTCCAAAAAGAGATTTAGAGACGACCTGAAAGGACTTGAAAATGTCTCCACGGTGAGTACAGTCTTGAACGATGGGACTCCCCCCATTTGGTGGCTTGTGAAATTTGTCCATGCAAAGAGCAGTCTCTCAGGAGACACCAGACTGTTCCTTAGCATCCCGTAATCCAAACAAGGCCCCAGACAGCTAATCCCTTGGCAGGAATGACGACAGGGACATTTTTAACCTTTGGAGGAAGGGATTATTTGCTCCCTTTTTAAGCACCATGAGTGGTTGTCGTGCAGTCCATTTCTTCATCACACATTTGCAAACACCTGTCGTTGAGAGTCTTAAGTAATTTATAAGCAGACATAGCACGGAATGAATGGCTGCATGCGTAGGGTTCTTACAGCTCCCACTTTCTGAGATGTTTGATGCCATGTAACTGGCATATGTAGCTTAGAAGATCTATTTACCACCCCCAGTTGTTTTATTTTTAACCTAAAATGTAAGCTAGAATTCCCATTTCCTATAAATAGAAAAGTCACATCTATATGAACAAATTGTAGGTATACTTGATCATTGATTATAGAGATTTGAGTATTCTGGGCAATTTTTTCCCCTTAACTGTTTAATTGGGCATTTACAGGGTGCCTACCAGCATACCAGGTATCAGAAGCATGGGACACTTCTCATTACATTTATGTCTTTTTTATCCCTTGGGACAATTATAATGAAAGACATTATTATAAAACAAACGCTATTAAATGTGGAAGCAGAAGTTAACCTCTTTTTTTGTTGTTGTTGCTGCTATTAACTCAAGTTACTTTATTTCTCCGCATCATGTGGTTCCACATCTATAAAAGATTTTGTTCCACCAGATTTCCCTGACCATCTCGAGCACTGGGGTTTGAATCAAATCAAACCCACCACTTGTCCTTGGTGACAGTTGCTTTAGAACAGTTGCCCCAGGACTGGATTATGGTTTTTATGAGGTTAAATAAAATTTTTTACAGCATGACTTTCATAAAGATGTTTGTGATCCTTTTAAGGGACTAGAGAAGTATGGAAGGTTGTTACCTGTAAATGTTGTTATTCAGGAGGCTTTAGAGGTTGTTCAAATTATCCCTAAGGATGGCTTCATTGAAACCATTCAAAATACCTATTATCTTAGCCTCTTATCATTTTTTGCATTGAATATACTGGCTAGGGGGGAAAATTACTAGGCTTTAGCATGATTCAATTTTCTGGGAACTCCCTAATCTCTCTAGGCCAATGGGTATGATTTTATAATGGTCTCCTGTTGCTCACTTAGTTATTTGGGATTAGAGTTTTCAGTGGACAGATTTTCAATGTCCTAAGTGTCTTTGTTCATCTCTGTGATTTCATTATTACCATTTCTTTTTAACGTGGACAGTGAGAGATTTATTCAACAAATGTTTACTGAGAAAATTTGTACTTCTAGGGTTGCAGAGAGGATAACATATAGATAAACATAGACACATCAGGTGGTACATGATAGGAACTGTTGTGAAAATTAACCAGGATCAACACAAGGGCTAATAGGAAGAGGAGAGTAATGGAACTCAGAAGCCGGATAAGATGATGTGACAAATAGGTCAAAATCCATTCATCCCATTATCTTAAAACTTCTTTTTAAATAAAGGAGTTGGCATCATAGGTTACAAGATTTTGTGATGAATATAGTTTGTATCAAATTGTATCAAGTTGAGAAATAATTTTTATCAGAGTATATGTTTTGCTGAAGATTAGTAAGAGTTAAAACTATTAAAGACAAATAGTGTCTTCCATATACTATGGAAGAGTGTGATTAAAGATATTAAAGTACAGCTATTTATAAGGTGTCTTAATCCTCCCTTTAAATACTCTCCAGGGGGGCTGGAGTGATATAGCACAGCGAGTAGGGCATTCGCCTTGCACGCAGCCAACCCAGGTTCGATTCCCAGCATCCCATATGGTCCCCTGAGCACTGCCAGGAGTAATTCCTGAGTGCAATGCCTGGAGTAACCCCTAAACATTGCTGGGTGTGATCCAAAAAGAAAAAAAATAGTCTCCAGGGGCTGGAGCTACTATAGCAGTTAGGGTCATGCCTTGTGTGCACATAACCTGCGTTCCATTCTAGTACTACCTGGTACTGAGCATCACTAGGAGTGGCTCTAGAAGCCCTGGTAGAGCCAGGATTTCTTAGGTAACCCCCAGAACTGCAGGGCATTATATGGAACCTCCCACCCAGTTGGCCAAGAATTTCTGGTGGGACTCTTGGGCCTCTGAACACCATTGGAGCCCCCGCCCCCCGCAAAAAAAATTCTCTATTATTAAAACTTTATTTATTTATTTATTTTAAAAAGCAGACTAACATTTAAAGGAATTCAACACCTGTGATTACTACCAAACATATACTTGTATTTATTTATTTATTTTTCTTTTTGGGTCACACCCAGTGATGCACAGGGGTTACTCCTGGCTTTCCACTCAGGAATTATTCCTGGCGGTGCTCGGGGGACCATCGAACCTGGGTTGGCCAAGTGCAAGGCAAATGCCTTACCCGCTGTACCATTGCTCCAGCCCTATTATTAAAACTTTAAAGGAAACTTTACTAAAAGGTACTAGACAGTACCAAGCATCTAAGAAGCACAATTTAATGCTCCCTATATACTTTCAACATTGTGGGTCCTGAATTCACTGGTTTCCCAAGGAAAAAGACAGAAACCAGTAACCTCTAGATCAAAGTGAAGACTGTTGTTTTGACCAAAGAGAGAAGACAGATCTGGAGGGAAGATAATGGGCAGGAGCCTGGTTTACAAGAGTTGCTTTGACCTTTTGCCAGTCCCACTCATGATAAGGCTGACGCTAGCTTTGCCGGCAGCTTAGCCACCCCCCACCCTCCTGTAGAACGCCCACCATGTGCAAGAATCTAGCAGGCATGGGGGACAACACATACAACCAACCTCTGGCTTGTTCTATTTGGAATAAAATGTTGGGGAGGTGGCGACAGATTAGACCACACCCATCTTTACTTGGGTATGGCCTAACCTGCCCTTCACAGACTCAGGAATCTCTTCTGGCCAGGATTGGGAGACGATGCATGGTGCTGGGTATCGAATCTGGGTCGGCTGCATGCAAGTCAAGCACTTTGTCCATTGTACTGTCCTCTGGCCCCAGGAATATGACATTATTATCTACAACTTACTCTAAGATCAAGGGTCTCTGATATGAACATACCTGTTTTCTCTTGTTTTTTGTTTTTTGTTTTTTTTAAGAGAGAGATTTTAAAAGTCTGGTGCCCTCCCCTTTAATGTGTATATTATTAAGAGTATTTGTGCAGTATCATTAGAGTTCTAAGTGCTAGAAAGAAAACACATGGCAGTGCAGTTCCTTTGTTCTAAACCAGGGGATCAGCAAGCTCTTTCTATAATGGGGCGTAAACATGTTTGTCTTGGTAAGCCATATGGCCTCTCGTAGACCTCTTTAACTCTGACAGGGTGCAAACACAGAGAAGCCTCTACAGACGCTACTTGAATGTTTGGGGGCATGACTGTGTTCCAATATAAACTCTACTTATAAAAACAGCCAGCGGGGCAGAGAGATAGTATAAAGTACAAGGGTTCAGGCACTTTCCTAGTGTGCGGCTAAGGTAGCTATCCTGATTCAAATCCCAGCACTCCCTATGGTGCCCCCCAGCACTGAGCAGAGTGTTTTCTGAGCACTGAGCTCATTGTAGCATGCCCCCTACCCCCAAAATAAACCAGGCAGTAAGCCAATTTTTTGACCTATGGTTTGTTTGGCAACACCATTTCTCTACCTTTCTTAAAATGTTTTCCTTGAGTACTATTACTACCAAAAAGTTAGTTGTCCTACAACCTGTCAAATACTCTGCTGGCTGCCCCACACAGGGATCCCCAAAGCATGCCCTCATGAAAGTCAGCGAGGAATTCCCTAATGCAGGAATCACTCTTCCTTTGTTTAACTCAGCATTTCCCCAACAAAGTCAACGTGGTGATTTGTAACCAGCGTGAGTGTCCTGTGGCACTCGGATTCCCCCCCAAGAGTACTTTGGGAAATACCATCCCACAGCCTTCAATCAGCTGTGCCACGATGGTGTCCTGGTGCATTTCACTTTGTTCCAAGAGTTAGCAGCATAGCCTATGATCAAGTCTGACAGCAGGGCTTAGGGTGAGGGGTGTTCGGTGAATCATGCCCATCAGCAGGCTCAGTGATGTCTGCAGGACGTGCTTCCTGAGACCACATGTGGCAGTTAAAAGCTAGTACAGGCTGAAGAGATACAGCAGGGGTTAAGGCACTTGCTTGCACAGCCAACCCGGGTTCAATCTGCAGCACTACAGATGGTCCCCCAAGCCCTGCTAGGAGTAAGTCCTGAGCCCAGAGCCAGAAATAGGCCCTGAGCACTGCCGAGTATGGCCTAAAAAAGCCAAGGAAGGAAGAGAAGGAGGGAAGGAGCGAGCTGCAGAGCAGACCCACCCAGACCCACCTCATTGGAGGCAGTGGTCTGCAATTAGGATAAATCACCCCCACAGGTTGGTGATTCGTCCTTGAAGAGACACGTAGCATTTCTCTTGCTGCATTTGTGTGTAAAATAAACCTTGCCTTCTTGTTTCCTAGACCTTATTCCCATCAGGATACCTAATCCCTCTCACCCAGTGCTCAACCCTGGGGACAGAGTCCATTTTGCCTAATAAAGAAAACGCGGGGACCCTTTCCCCCAACCACAGGATCTACAGCTCCCCAATCACAGGTGCGTGCCCGGGGAGCCCTTTTCAGACATGGGTTTGTGTCAACTTTATGGGAGCCTTGTAGAGTATGTTGGGCCCCAGGCCTGTGCCTTGAGACGGTCTCCCCCTGTTCTTTGCAGGTGTCATTCCCGTGACCTCCTCCGAACTCACTGCTGTCAATTTTCCCTCTTTCCACGTGACACCTTTGAAGCTCATGGTCTCACCAACTTCTGTGGCTGCTGTACCTGTTGGGAACAGCCCGGCTCTTGCTTCCAGCCACCCTGTTCCCGTGCAGAACCCCCCCAGCTCAGCCATTGTAAACTTCACCCTGCAGCACCTGGGGCTCCTTTCCTCAAGTGTGCAGGTGACCGCCAGCCCTGCGCCCGGCTCTATCCCCGTGTCCCCCCGAGTAGAGGCCGTGAGTGTGACTCTGGACAGTACAGGCGCACAGCAAGGGAAGGCGAGCAGGTTCGACTCACCAGTCTCTGGCCAGAGCCAGCCAAATGGACAATCCGCCTCTGGATCTGGGGCACAGCAGGTGAGTATGTTTTGGTGTCATTGATTTTCCGTCGAATGAAAAAGGCCAGGTGGTGGGAGACTTGTAGCGGGCTTTCTCCCGGCTGGCCCAGGAGACGATATAGGGTGCTGGGGATCAAACCCTGATTGGCCGCATGCAAGGCAAGTGTGCCCTACCCACATACCATGGATCCGTCACCCAGCTGTCTCACCTTAATGAAAATAATTGAGACTGTGAAATGAGGAGCCTGACGAGGCTGGGCTCCAACCCCGTGCCTTAGCCTGTGTGACTTTAACCTTTCCTGTCCATGTCTCTCTTTCCAATCAGCCTGTTCCTGTGACACCCAAAGGGTCACAATTAGTGGCCGAAAGTTTCTTCCGTACCCCAGGAGGACCAACAAAGCCGAACGGCTCCCCCTGCGTGGATTTTGATGGTGCTAATAAAACCTCCGTTGGAACACTCTTTGTCCCTCAGCGAAAACTGGAAGTCTCCACGGAGGATGTCCATTAATTGAATGATTTGGTTTTAATTTTCTAAAGAGCTATTTGGAAGGAAAGAGAGACTGATTTGGAAAACACATTCTCTGAGAATACTGTAAATATGTTGGGAGTTTACTAAATTTTAAAGCAGACACATGTTTTGGTAGATACACACACTTGTATAAGGCAAAACTAGCTCTTCAACCCTACAAAATAAAAGGAAAATGTTGAACTAAGGCATATCAACTTCGAGAAGGAAAGGATCTGTTATTTCAGCTGTGCCTATATTATTATGCAAAGTAACTGTATTAAAGTTTACATCCCTTTGAGTGAGTATGTGATAGCATTGTCTTCCACTTTGCACAAAAAAAAATGAACAAAATGCTGTGATGTATTGCATTGTATTTTTAAATAGGAGGATGGTAGGTATATCTATTTTTTTGTAATTTCTTTCATTTGTCGCTCTGCAGTATGTCTTTTGTAAAGTTCTCAATAACCTCAATCAAGTCTATGGAAAAATTATTTATAAAATGTATTTTAAATCATAAGTTGTTCAAATTAAAACTTTTCTAAAATGCATTTAACATTTCATTTGGCCAGATAGGGCACTCTTGGGGAGAAAAACGAAAATCTTATCTGACCTCAGAGACAAGCTTGACAAGGCGAGTGCATCCTGGGTTCCCTTTGGCAGGCGGGGTTTATAAAATGTTCTGACATTCTTCCCTGCTTTTGATCCCTCCAAGTGGCTTCACGGTTACAGCAGTAAAAATGGCCTGGACAGGCTGTTGTTTGTCCAGCGACACCCAGTTAAGTCCTTTGTGTTTTCCACTAGATCCTGGGAAATGAGAAATAAAAGGCAGCTGCTGAGTTCCTTGCTCCCCTATACCCCCCCCCCCCACACACACACACACCCAGAATGCACCCCCTGCCACCTAGCTATGTACGAGAGGGGCTGCAGCTACATCCTCTGACCTCACTAAATCCCCATAAGCTACCATGTTAAATAGGCATTTCCTTGAGCCCCTTGCTAAGGAGCGAACTTGAGAATCAATTTTCCCTGGTTAGAGTCTTAGGTACCCTCCTCTTGGACTGCAATCTACTTCCTACAATGTTTACTCTATTCCAAGCACTATGCTGTCCTTTCAAAGGCATTATTATCTCTATAAATTAGGACTGTATGGTCTCTGAAGCTCAAAACTTTTTAAACCAAGTCCAGGACCATGCAGTCACATGTCTTTTGCCCCTGTTCATCCACTGCTTCTCTGTCCCCAAGTGCATAAACAAGCTCTAGAAGGAGCCAAGCACATTACAGTAATGGGGATTTGTAAGGTCATCCCATCAAATGTGTTTGATTTACACGACCCAGTACAGCCAAGCGAGGGCAGATTATCCACTTTCATCAGGAGACCCTTCTCTCTCCATACCACTAGAGAAACAAAAACTGAGCCCTTGGATCAATTTCCTCTACAGTTCTAAAGCCTTTGTTTTATCCCACCTAAAAGATGGAAAGTCTCCTAACCTAGAAAATGACTCCTATCTTTAGGGTACAGATAGTGGGGTTGAGAAAAATAATAAGAACCATGAAGATGGAAAGTATTTCCATTCGATAAGGAAAAGTTAACTTACCAAATGGTAGATCCAGACCAAAGGTTACTGCTCAACAAAGATGCTCAATTTATTTTCACACACAACTGTGAAGCACTGACCCAACTTATTTGCACACACAACTGTGAAGTACTGACCAGGTCAGTAGCTCTGAGAAGGGGAAGCTTCTCTCAGAGGAGATTAGCAGGTAAGGTTTTGTTCTGCCTCTCTCCCACCCCCACCCTCCACACCCCCCTCCCCCACACACACACACATGTTCTCCTTATGAAGTACCTCCCCAAGATGGAGGTTTGTGAACATCAGATGCACAGAGTTCTGGGGACCGTTCCCTGCAGGTCATCCATGCTAACAGATTCATAGATGGCCCCTCCAGTGCTCCTGATATTTATACCTTCATGTGAGTCCTTATTCCTGAGTGTGGCCAGGATACAGGATCAGCTTCTACTTGAAGGGATGCAGTCCTGGTGCTGAGGTGGATGGGACTCTATCCAGAGCCATTAGCCCAATCTTACAGGAGTCTCCTTTGCTGGCTTTAAGGAACCCCAACATGGGAAGGAACTGTGGGCAACCTCTTGGAGCTGAGCACGGGCTACAGCCCAAACCAGCATGAAACTAAAATCCTCAGTCCTACATGTAGCCACCAGGAACTGAAATCTGTCAGCGACATGACAGTGCCCATCAACAGATCCTTCCTCCAGCAGCAGATGAGATTTCCACCCTAACACCTCAATTTCAGCCTTGTGACACCCTGAGCAGAAGCCAGCTAAGCCATTCCTGGACTGTTGACCCACAGAAATAGTGAGGTAACAAATTGGTGTAAAGAAGCTGAGTGTGTGAGTGAAAATCCAATATTGCCACCATTGCACAGTGACAGAATCATAACAAGTGGAATCACTCAACTCACTGGCATTCATAAATGTATTATTCCAGGGGCCCAGGGAGGGGGCTGACTGGTAGAGCACCCACCTTACAGATAGGAAGCTTCAAGTTCAATCCTAGTACCATCCTATGTCACCCAGTGTGGTCTCTAGCCACACTGGCATCGATCCCTGGTGTCACAATAAATGTGTGATCTCCAGTGCACCACACCAGGTATGTCATCCCAGATATCAACAATAAAGGGAATGGGGAGATAAATGGACTATTCTTGCCTCTATGCTCAAGACTGACTCCTGGCTGATCTCAGGGAACCATAGGTGGTACCAGGGGTGGAACCAGGGACAGCTGCATGCAAAGTAAGCACATACTACCTCCTGTACTATCTGCTTCAGAACAGCTATTCCTCCAAAATAGGTAAGTAAATGTCTCCTTCCACTTTATCTTCTTATATTGATTGTAGATTTTTATAGATATGCCATAGGATCAGGCAGCATTGGGACATGGTAATCCCAAAAGCTTTCAGGGGAGACACACTGTCCAATTTTTAAACCTATAAATAACTCTAAGAATGCCAAGAATTTGCACATTAGTAGACAAAATGATCTGACTACCATGAAATTTCTTTTCCCAAACTGCCTCCTGATTTATTAAGAAATTTCTGAGTGGTTGTGCTATAAAATATTATATATAATGTATATATAGATATAAAGTAAATTAAACAGATGATACTACATTGTGGGGGGTGGGTTGTGGGCACTTTGGTGGTGATGCAATAACTTTAGAGACCAGAACTAAAAACAAGTTCTTTTAACTAATAATAAATATAATTTTATACATAATAAATTCTAGTACATAAATTATAATAAAAACTAAAATAATGACTAAGTAGGGCACACTGGGATCACCATAATATATCCAGCAAGAGTGGATTTATTATAGGGGCTGGAGCGATAGCACAGTGGGTAGGGCTTTTGCCTTGCACAAGGCCAACCCAGGTTCCGTTCCCAGCATCCCATATGGTCCCCTGAGGACCGCCAGGAGTGATTCTTGAGTGCATGAATCAATAGTAACTCCCGTGCATCGCCAGGTGTGACCTCCCCCCTCAAAAAAGAGTGGATTTATTATCATTCGACCGAGGCAGCATCACTGGTATCTGATGTTCTATCCTAACAGTGGCTTTCTCCCCATTCTGTTCCTGCTGCTAGAGTTTCTATGGGTCCTGCTTCCTGGTCTGGGCTCTACTTTTTGTCCTACCCTGAATCAATGGCTCTTTGCGCTCTCTCTCTCTCTCTCTCTCTCTCTCTCTCTCTCTCTCTCTCTCTCTCTCTCTCCCTCCCAGTAGGTTTTCTCTTGTTTAAAAGCAAATCACTTCTGCAGCTGGCAATGAAAGAATTTTTAACAAATCACAAAGGAAAACCCAGTGTCAAGGTTTTCTAGTTCCCGGACCAGTTTCCCCCGCCAGGTGATATCTAGCCTGAGTTGATCAAAAAGATCTTAAGAAATGCTTATCTCAGACTGGCTTATCCCCAGTACTCAGAACTTTCCTCCCACCCCCACCCCCATCACTGAGTCAGAAGTAGCCCCTAACACTGCCTGGTATGGCCCCAACACAAAACAAAACAAAAATGCTTGTCTCACCAGAAAAAAATGCAACTACCTCACCTTTGTTCAAGTGAATGGAAAGCACCATTTAATTATCTAAATATAAAGAGACAAGAAACTCAGAAAAATGGCGATAGAGCAATAAAATCTGATTTTAAAAAGAAAAAACAAAAAAAAACTTTTAAAAATCTGCTTTATAATAAGTTCCTTTAGTTTTTTTCCTTTTGGAGTGATTTGTGTTCCAGTAGATAAAGGATGAAGAGATTTTCAGAAGTTTAAGCAGATAAGCTGTCTGAGCAATCCTATTAATTATCTAGAAGAGTATTGGTTGACTGCAGATTCTTTGTACTATTCCCCACTAACGAGCTTTTCAAATCTTGAGGGCCTATCTGAGAAGCTGCAAGGAAAAGTGTCCCTACTTTAAATTGGGAGGGAAAATCCTATAATCAACTTTTAAAGAAGTGGTTTTCCATCTCAATGTCCTCTTTGAGTGCAGTTAGGTCAATTACTTGCTCAGTGGGATCAGTAATGAAATGAGGATTTATCCAGATCATCAACATTTTTAGAAAAATATCTGTAGGGAATATATTAACAATGTTTTCCAACATTAATTAAATTAATGTTGACATTAAATAATTAACTGCATTTCTGAAAGTCTCCAAGAGAGTCTTCTCTGTACCATGAATCATGATCAGAATTTACTTTTGCAGATTGCATTCTATTTTTTGAAGTATTGATTTTATTTTTACCCTATACTCAGAACTATGCTATGAAACATTGCCTACATCCTATCCTGGATAATGATGATGATGATGATGACAATAATAATAATAATAATAATAATAATAACAACAGCCTACTGTAAGTGAATCTACTAGATAAGTTTGCTCAAATTGAAAATATTTTTATTTTAACTACTGATTATTAAAATTCCTTCTAAAATTACAATAAAGCTCCCTCTGGGACCTAAAAGGAATATTTTACATGTGATTTAACTTTTTTCTTCATGTTTCAGAAACTCAGAATGCTAAA